TGGGCCCCGCGGGTCCGGGCCGCCCTCCCCTCCCCGTCCTGTCCCCATCAAGGCTTTTGTGGCTGGGCCTCTGGGTTCCGGGCTGCCGTGTCCACTCACGAGCTGTGCTGTCCCTTGCAGATGGCCGAGGCGGGCTTCATCCACTGCCCGACTGAGAACGAGCCGGACTTGGCCCAGTGTTTCTTCTGCTTCAAGGAGCTGGAAGGCTGGGAGCCAGATGACGATCCCATGTAAGTCACCTCTGGCCAGTCTCGATGGGCTTTAGCTGTCAGATTTGAATTGTGAAGACGCTTAACAGTGGGAGGGTTGCTTTCCAGCCTCATTGTTTCCTAAACAGCTACTGTGAACAGATAACTCTCTAAATGCTTGTGCCTTGGTGATGCTTACAGCCTAATTAAATCTCTTTTGACCAAAATGCCCTTAGGGTGGATGTGAAAGTCTCATTCACTTAAGATGCCTGATGCCTTTCAGGTTCAACAGAATACATTAGCAGACCCTGCTGCTGTGAGCTCCCAGGAATGTCCAGGCACTTTCCTTGAGACTTTTTTTAAAAAACAGTTTAATTGAAATATAACCCACAGAACACAAAAATTACCCTTTGAAAGGGTAGTTTTTCACACTTTGGGAGGCTGAGGCCAGCGGATCACCTGAGATCAGGAGTTTGAGACCAGCCTGGCCAACATGGTGAAACCCTGTCTCTACTAAAAATACCAAAAATAGCCGGGCATGGTAGCATGCACCTGTAATTCTAGCTACTCTGGAGGCTGAGGCAGGAGAATTGCTTGAACCCGGGAGGTGGAGGTTGCAGTGAGCCAGAATAACACCACTGCACTCCAGTCTGGGTGACAGATCGAGACTCTGTCTTAAACATTAAAAAAAAAAAAGAAAGTGTACACTTTAGTATTGTTTTGGATTTTGTTCTTCAAGATGCCTAATTAAAATGAAGTTCTGTACTTGGGTGATATTTGTCTTCTACACTGTAATGCCATATTCTTTTCTCAGCTTTTTTTTTTCTGTCAGAATCAGTTGCTTCCACAACTTTAATTTTTTCCCCTTGAGAATCACCCCAGTTGTTTTTCTTCCTGATCAGAAGAGTGTAGCTGTTTTTTTCTTATTATGTTCGCTGTGGTGGTTATACAGCATCCCCGTGATCACTGGGAAAATATCAGTGCTATTCTTGAAAATGAATGTGTTACCACGTTTTCAGATTGGAGCTAACTACTGGCTGTCCTATCGTACTTTGTGTAGCCGTATTTTCATTGTAATACTGCTCTGGTAATGGCAATAATCAGTTATGCAGGGAGACTAGCAGCAAATGAGAATCTGAGCTAGAGGGGTCCCTTGGGGAACCCTGGTGGATAATGCCCTTATCTGCTCTTAATCCTTACAGTGGATTTCATAACAATTCCAGTGAAATGAAATTACTTCAAACAGTTCCTTGAGAATGTTAGAGGGATTTGACACGTGATTCCTTCGGACTTACACTGTGTAACACTTTCTCACCTAATTGCTAAAGAAGTCCAGGTAAAATGGATATGTTAGCCACATGGACGTAGGGAGAGAGGTCCACAGTGAGGGAGAAGGTGCTAAGAGGGGCCGTACGGGAATGTGGCTTGGACACAGCACTGATTCCATCAACTTCAGACTTGATGTTTTGCTCCTGAGGCAGAGCAGGGTGTGCCAGTGGAGGGCGGGAAGGTGACCCATGAGGAATGGACTGCCGCTTTCATTCCTTCAGCTGCCTTTCCGCTGTTGTTCTGACTTTTCTAGAGAGGAACATAAAAAGCATTCATCCGGTTGCGCTTTCCTTTCTGTCAAGAAGCAGTTTGAAGAATTAACCCTCGGTGAATTTCTGAAACTGGACAGAGAAAGAGCCAAGAACAAAATTGTATGTATTGGGAATAAGAACTGTTCAAACCCTGTTCAATGTCCTTAGCACTAAACTAGTCCGTCAAAGGGACCCCTGTTTTTCCTCAGGAAGCTTTTTTCTTTTTCTTTTTTTTGAAACAGTTTCACTCTGTTGGCCAGGCTAGAGTGGAATGGCGTGATCTTGGCTAACTGCAACCTCCGCCTCCTGGGTTCAAGAGATTCTCCTGCCTCAGCCTCCTGAGTAGCTGGGATTACAGGTGTGTGCCACCATGCCTGGCTAATTTTTTGTATCTTTAGTAGAGATGGGGTTTCACCATGTTGGCCAGGCTGGTCTCAAACTCCTGACCTCATGATCCACCCACCTTGGCCTCCCAAAGTGCTGGGATCAGGGCGTGAGCCACTGTGTCTGACCAGCGTGGTTTGTTTTGTTTTGTTTTGAGACAGAGTTTCACCAGTCACCCAGGCTGGAGTGCTATGGTGCGATCTAGGCTCACTGCAACCTCCGTCTCCCAGGTTCAAGTGATTCCATGCCTCAGGCTCTCAAGTAGCTGGAATTATAGGTGTACGCCACCAGGCCTAGCTAATTTTGGTATTTTTTAGTAGAGATGGGGTTTTGCCATATTGGCCAGGCTGGTCTCAAACTCCTGGCCTCAAGAAATCTGCCTGCCTTGGCCTCCCAAAGTGCTGGGATTACAGGTGTGAACCACCATGCCTGGCTTCAATATATAGTGGCTTTTAATTTGCGTTTTGTCAGGAAGAGGGAAGACGCCAGTGGTAGGTGCAGCGGGCTGTGGGAGAGCTTGTCACCGGTTAAGGTTGTGGGAACTGCAGCGTGGGAACTGGAGAATGGGCTGGGGAGCATCTTTTTCTGGGTCAGGGTCAGCCTACTTTTCTGTAATGTACCATAGACCATCTCTTAGCCTTTGTGGGTCAGAGTCTGTGCTGCATATTGTCTTTTTGTTGTAGCTTTTCACAACATTTTAGAAACATAAAAAACATTCTTAGCCTGTGTGCTGGACAATAAAAGGCCGTGATGGGCTGGATGGATTTGGCCAGCAGGCCCTCGCTTGCCAATCCCTGTTGTAGATGAGGAGTAGCTTGTGTGCCTGGCAGCTGATGAGCATGGGGGAGGAGCATCGGACGTGGCGTTGTGAGCTGGAAGCCAGGTTCCAGAGCACTGAGAAAGACGGGGTTGTTGCTGTTGCAAACAGAGCAACTGAAATCTGACACAGGCCAGTTCCAGGAAGCCCTGAAGCGCTGGTGGGTGCTGGGCGTTCTCTGCTCCAGGGTTACATTACAGGGATGAAGAGGTGGTCTGGTGGGGAAAGTCAAGTCACCTTTTAGAAGATGTGACTAAGAACAGTAGACTTTTGGGATGTATGAGCTGAAGGGGCAGGAGGCAGAAGGAAAGGCCTCATCCCCTGCAGGAGACCCCTTTGGTCTCCATCTCCTGGTGCACTGCAGTCAGACCCAGCCAGACTGGAATGAGGGGAGACATCCCAGCCTGCGAGAAAGGCGGGGAGATTTTAAAAAACTGTCTGGCTTTTATTTTGAACTGTTTTTTGTTCTCCCCAATTCAATGGATTTGTTTTTATTACTTTGTTTAATTGTGAAACTGTAATTTTTTTTTTTTTTTTTTTTGAGATAGGCTCTTACTCTGTCACCCAGGCTGAGTGCAGTGGTGCAATCTTGGCTCACCGCAGTCTCAACCTCCTGGGCTCAAATGATCACACCTCAGCCTCCCCAGTAGCTAGGACCACAGGCCTGTGTATTGCACTATACAAACCCAGAAGACAAGGAAGGATGCTGTTGCTGGTGATGCTGGGGATTCTGAAGATCCCAGATTTGACGGCAGGACTCCCCTGTCTGCCGTCTTGCCAGCGTGCCGGGAGGGCGCTGCTGTGGAAGCTGAGGTCTGGCCACTCCAGGCTATGTGCTGGGCACTGGTTCTTGTTCTGCTGCTGCCTCACTGCTTCAGCTTTTGAAACAATGAAACGTTAGAATCAATGTGAAAACCCACCAGTTTGGGGAATAAATTTGATGCGGAAATAAACAGAGCAACTTAGTTCTTCATCAGAGTTTACTTTGTAAATACTTGCGATGAGGACAAAACGAGGCACTAGAAGGAGAGGCGAGTTGTCGACCTGGGTGGCAGGAGTTTTTTGTTTGTTTTCAGAGACAGGGTCTTGCTCTGTTGCCCAGGCTGGAGTACAATGGTGCTGTCACAGCTCACTATAGCCTCAGTCTCCTGGAATCAAGCGATCCTCCTGCCTCAGCCTCCCCAGTAGCTGGGACGACAGTCACATGCCACCATGCCTGGCTAACTTCTTTTTTTTTGAGACAGAGTTTCACCATTGTCGCCACCCAGGCTAGAGTGCAATGGTGCATTCATGGCTCACTGCAACCTCCGCCTTTCAAGTTCAAGCAATTCTCCTGCCTCAGCCTCCCAAGTAGCTGGGATTAAGACGCCTGCCACCACACTTGGCTAATTTTTTTTGTATTTTTAATAGAGATGGGGTTTCACCACATTGGCCAGGCTGGTCTTGCGCTCTTGGCCTCAGGTGATCCGCCTGCCTCAGCCTCCCAAAGTGCTGAAATTACAAGCATGAGCCACTGTGCCTGGCCCAATTAATTTTTTTGTAGAGACAGGGGTCTCGCTACGTTGGCCAGGGTCATCTTGTATTCCTGGGCTCAACTGATCCTCCTGCTTTGGCCTCCAAAAGTGCTGGGGTTATAGGCATGAGCCACCACATCCAGCTATAAGTTTTGTCAGTGAGTTTTGTTTTCTCTTTTCTTTTCTTTTTTTTTTTTTTTTGAGACAGTGTCTTGTTCTGTCACCCACGCTGGAGTGCAGTGGCACGATCTTGGCTCACTGCAACCTCCGCCTCCCGGGTTCAGGTGATTCTCCTGCCTCAGCCTCCCAGGTAGCTTGGATTACAGGTGCATGCTACCATGCCTGGCTAATTTTTTGTATTTTTAGTAGAGACAGGGTTTCGCCATATTGGCCAGGCTGGTCTCAAACTCCTGACCTCAGGTGATCCACCTTCCTTGACTTCCCAAAGTGCTGGGATTACAGGTGTGAGCCACTGCACCTGTCCTGTTTTATTTTTCAATAGTGAGAGTTCTTGTGTTTGCTTCGCCCCTCCCTTTATTGGAAAAATGTATAAAATGGAGATAATTACAGCATGTATGCAATTAATTTTAGGCTTTTTTGAAAGAGAAGAAGAAACTGAATAATCTGTGTGTGTGTGTCTGTGTGTATTTTTTTAAAGCCATGGTTATCTTTCCATATCAGGAGAGGTGAGGCTCCCGGGACTGCAGAGATGTCTGTTACAGTCCATTGCAAGGTGCACTGTTGGGCCAGGTGCACTGGCTTGTGCCTGAATCCCAGCACAGTGGGAGGCCAAGGCAGGAGGATTGTTTGAGCCCAGGAGTTTTGAGGCCAACCTGGGCAATGTGGCCAGACCTCATCTCTTCATAAAATACACAAAAAAATTAGCCAGGCATGGTGGCATGTGCCTGTAGTCTCAACTACTCAGGAGGCTGAGGTGGGAGGATCACTTAAGCCCTGGGGGTCAAAGCTGCCGTGAGCCATGATCTTGCCACTGAATTCCAGCCTGGGTGACACAGTGAGACTCTGTCTCTAAAACAAAACAAAAAGTATACTGTTTTATTCTTTTCTTATCAATTTATTATTTTAAAATTAAATTTTCTTTTCATAATATACAAATAAGACTTATACATGAGGTAAAACATAGGCTATATTAGGATATATAAAGTACATATTGAGTTGGGCTCAGTGGTGTGTGCCTGTCGTCCCAGCTATCGGGAGGCTGAGGCTGGAGGATATCTTGAGCCCAGGAGTTGTGGGCTGTAGTGCGCTATGCTGATCAGGTGTCCGCACTAAGTTCGGCATCAATATGGTGACCTCCCGGGAGCGGGGGACCACCAGATTGCCTAAGGAGGGGTGAACTGGCCCACATCGGAAACGGAGCAGGTCAAAACTCCCTTGCTGATCAGTAGTGGGATCATGCCTGTGAATAGCCACTGCACTCCAGCCTGGGCAATGTAGTGAGACCCCGTCTCTTAAAAAAAAAAAAAAAATTAAAGTACTTATTGAAAGATAATTTTTTTAAGTTAGCTTCTATCAGAAAACAAATTTAATCCAATAGCGGTCTTTGTTTTTTAAGGTAGCAGAGGAGTTAGGATGAATAAAAAATATGATAGGGAAGAGGGGTCCCTGGGTTTGCTGATGTGATTGTCATTTGCCCCTTAGGAGAGAGCTCTGTTAGCAGAATGAAAAAATTGGAAGCCAGATTCAGGGAGGGACTGGAAGCAAAAAGAATTTCTGTTTGAGGAAGAGCCAGATGTTTACCAGGGTCTGTCTAACCGGACATGAAGAAGAAGGCTGTGGACTCTAGTAGTTTCAGGACAAGGTAGGGCCGTGGTTAAGAGCAGAGCTCTACAGACTGGCTGCGGAACCCTGAGTGGCTGCTTCCGCTGGACCTTGGTTTCCTCATCTGTTTAATAGAGGCATGGGAGCACCCACCGCAGGACCACTGTGAACATAAATCGGTTAATGGGCGAAGCAGGTAGAATGGTGCTGGGTACATACCAAGCCCTCCATCGGTGTTTTCTGTTATTCGACGATTAGGAGGCAGCTTACACTAGAAGGCGTTGAGTTGAATCAGGATGTTCGTCCCATGTAGCTGGGAGTCTGCCCCAGCCAGTGCCCAGCTTATTCAGGTGCTCAGTCAGTGTTCCCTTTGTCATCTTATCTACAGCATATGAATGGGAAGCTCTGGTTTCAGTGTCATGTGTCTATCCTTTATTTCTAGGCAAAGGAAACCAACAATAAGAAGAAAGAATTTGAAGAAACTGCGAAGAAAGTGCGCCGTGCCATTGAGCAGCTGGCTGCCATGGAGTGAGGCCTCTGGCCGGAGCTACCTGGTCCCAGAGTGGCTGCACCACTTCCAGGGTTTGTTCCCTGTTGCCACCAACCTTCCTGTGGGACCCTTGGCAATGCCGTAGGAAAGGAGGTCAACATTTTCAAATCAGATATTTCAACTATACTCTTGTTTTATCTTGAAAGTGGCACCAGAGGTGCTTCTACCTGTGCAGCTGGTGCTGCTTATAACAGTGACTGCTTCTCTCTCTCTCGCTCTCTCTTTTTTTTTTTTAAATAGACGGGGTTTCACCATGTTGGTCAGGCTGGTCTTGAACTCCTGACTTCAGGTGATCCACCCGCCTCAGCCTCCCAGAGTGCTGGGATTATAGACGTGAGCCACCATGCCCAGCCGTTTTTGCTTTCTTGATTCCTGGACTTAACCAGGTGAGAAGTGGGGGAGGAAGAAGGCGGCGTCCCTTTTGCTAGAGCTGATGGCTGTGTTTGCGTGGGCAGAGCCTTGGCAGTGAATGTATCTGGACCTCATGCTGTGGACTGGCTGTCACTCAGTCCTGAGTGTGGACTTGGCAGATGCCTGTTGAATCTGTGCTGCAGGTTCCTCAACTGTCACATCTGTGCTGCCTCAGCAACCTTTTTTTTTTTTTTTTTTTGGTAAAAGCATGATTTGTGTATGATGAGGAGGGGAATGGAGACAGAGCCCCCAGCTCCTCTACAGTTTCTCAACGTGGTTTTCTTCTTTTGTTTGAATTCCTAATTCACAGAATAGCACAAACTGCAATTAAAACTCAGCACAAAACCATTCCAAGTGATTGGGGAAATCCGGGTGAACTTCAGGTGGATGTGGAGACAGACTAAGGTGACAGGAAGCGTCTAGCAGAAACTCCTTTAGGCAACTGCTGTGTAATTAGACAGGCCCAGTGAGCCTCGGGGCATATGCTGGCTGTTCCTCCCTGAGAAAAAGGCAGTGGCCTGAATCCTTTTTAAATGACTTGGCTCAGTGCTGTGGGGGACTGGCTGGGCAGCTGCAGGCTGTGTGTCTGTCAGCCCAACCTTTACATCTGTCATATTCTCCACATCGGGGAAGGACGTACTCTGCCCAGGTCCCCGCCTTCTTCAGAGGCAGCAGCTCCTACAGGGCTGAAGGCTGGCATAAGTTGATGGATTTGATTTCCCCTCCTCCCTGTGGTAGAGCTGCAGAGTGGATTGGTACAGCTTCGTTGGAAACCTCTGGAGGTCATCTCGGCTGTTCCTGAGAAATAAAAAGCGTGTCATTTCAAACGCTGCTGCAGACCCTACTGGGTTTTTTAAATTTTGTCAGTGTTTCATTGTGGTCTCTAGCCTGCCAACAGCCATCTCCCTAGACAGCCGCAGTGAGGACGAGCGTCCTGGCAAAGATGCAGTTGGCCCTGGGCACTCACCAGAGCCACGAACCCCAGACCTATTTGTATCTCCCAGGCTCCTTCCGGGTGGAAACGGCTGTGAAAATGCACCTCAGATTCACTTATTTCTGCCACATCTGAGTCAGGGCCTGAGAGATATTTTTCCCTCTGAACTTAGAGAATATCACAGTGGTTTGTGTTGGCAGAAAATGCACTCCAGCCTCTGTACTCCCCTAAGCTGCTTATTTTTTATATTTGTGCCAGTCTGTAAATGGATAATAACTGTTGCTTAGAAATTGGCTTTGTGGAGAAACTGGAAAATAATGGTTTTATCTTCAACTCCTTTGCACGCCAGAGGGTGATGTGGACCTCAGCTTCTGCCAGCCTATGCTGTGGGCAGGGCTGAGCTGAAGCTGCCCCTCTCAGCCTGCCTGCCACAGCTTTTCCTTAAAGGCCATTCTTAAAACCAGACCCTCATGGCTGCCAGCACCTGAAAGCTTCATCAATATCTATTAATAAAGCCGTAGGCCCTCGTCTAACGGCAACTGCCTAGGCTTTCTTTGAGATATGTGTCCATTATTCAGGTTCTTTAAGTCAGAGTGGAGTCTGGGAAGGGTTGTGAATGGAGGGTTCGGGGCTGTAGGTGAGGCTCCAATGGAAAGTAGAGACGGCCGTGCCCACTGCCCAGAAAAGACCAGCAAGCCAAATTGGAGCCCCCATTGCAGGCTGCCGTCGTGTGGAAGGAATAACTCACGATTGCCAGTAAAAGTCTAATGTGGTTTTATCTATGTTTTTTTTTTCTTTCTTTTTTTTTTTTTTTTTTGGGGGGGTGAGACAAGGCCCCTTGCCCTCCCAGGCTGGAGTGCAGTGGCATGACCATAGCTCACTGCAACCTCAAATTCTTGGGTTCAAGCAAACCTCCCACTTCAGCCTCCCAAGAAGCTGGGACTACAGGCGCACGCCATCAAACCTGGCTAATTGAAAACAATTTTTTTATAGAGATGGGATCTCACTTTGTTGCCCAGACTGATCTCAAATTCCTGGGCTCAAGTGATCATCCTGCTCCAGCATCCAAACTGTTGATATTCCAGGCATGAGCCACTGCACCTGGCCTAGCTGCCATTTTTTTAAATGCAGAAATGTAGATTTTATAGAGGTGAAATAACTCGTCCAAAACAATAGGACAAGTAAGTTTTAGGGTTGGGATTTGAATCCAGGCAATCTGGCCCCGGAGCTGGGCCCTCACTGCTGAAGGACACTGCCAGCTTGAGGCTGTGGCCGTGCCCGGCTACCTTTAAAGCACCCTGTTCCACTTTCAGACAGCTTTGTCCAAAAGGCTGCCATATGGAGCTGACACCTCCCCAAGGCTTCCATAGATCCTCACTGGACATTTTAACCTTTTATTTTGAAATGAAAGTTCGCAGGGAGTTGTAAGGCTAGTACAGGGGGTCCCGCATACCATTCCCCTCCTTTTCCCCATTGTAAGGACTACACTGTGTTCACTTTCAACACCCAAGGTCTGTGTTGAGAGGATGAGTTGTGCAGCCCAGCTTGCCCCAAGCTCGTCTTGCCACCATGAAGCATTTCCTGACTCAGATGAATCTACCTCAACAAAGCCAAGGAACAACTAAGCTGCAGATTTTCTCTCCACTGGGCTTGGCCTACATTATTTGCACCTGTTTTCAGCTGGATGGGACCAAATTTCCACATTACCCCAAAGGGGTGACATTTATTTGTTCACTCAGGTATTTGTGAGTGTACCTGCTGTGTGCCAGGTGCCAGGTCCTGGAATCGAAGCCGGAACAACTGCAGTGAGCTCTCAGGGGTTTTGTTTTCTGAATGGTGGGAAGACAGGTCAGCAGATAGCCAGGCGCGTCTGCACATGTGTGGCTGGCGTGTGCAGGAGTGCCGAGAAGACGGTGAGCCCCACCCTGGATGCCACAGGAAAGGGCATTCCCGCACAGCTGTTGGTCCTGGCACATGTAGCAGGCTGCGAGCGGGACCAGGAAGGGAACAGGAAGATGCACAGGCCGGAGGGGACAGAGGCGCATGTCATGGGCACTGCAGGTGTGCGCTGCGGTGGGACGCACAGGCTGGTTCCGGGGAGATGTCAGCAAGGCCCTGCAGCCTAGGGCACTGCCTGTTCCACATTACCCAGTGAGTCAGAGTCTCCCAGTCACTCAAAGCCAGTGCAGGTCCCAGCTTTGTCCGCGGAGGAACTTTCACTCTAGAAAACACGAACTCATTTCCCTTTGAGGAAGTTACTTCTCCAGGATGTCATTTCCAGCCACCACCCAGGATGCGGAGAAGGTGCTGCAGTGCCCAAAGCACGGCTGCCCGAGAAGCTTGTCCCTTAGAAACCCCATGTGGGCTGGGAGGCGCCTGCCTGCCTCCCTGAGAGCGGAACCCTGTCCCTGTCCGGCTGCCAGACTGGCTAGGCAGGTGCTGGGGAAGTCTGGGTGGCCGTGCTGAGCCCCTCATAGGCCTTGGAGTTGTGCTTGGGGATGAGACCTCCCAGCTCTTCGGCTGCCTCCCAGTCATGGCCACATCTCACAAACGTTACCAGTGTCCACGAGAAATGAAAAGGTGTGTGATTCCAACTTACCACCTGACCCACGTAAGAGGCCTTAGAATGCTGGGCTTTGACTCGAGTGGCTTTGAGTCTACCAAGGGGATTCGCTTCCTAATGTCCTGAGTGAATGAACTGACCTGTTGGACAGGGAAACTTAGGTTCATTTTCTGTGGGGGGACATTTGCCAAATGCAGTGAAATCAGTTGACGCTGAGCTACTCTGACAGTGACTCAGCCTCGGCTCCAGCTGCTTCCCCAGCCCTGTGGTGGAGGTGGCAGATGATGACATCATCCTGGAGCAGAGGGCTCTGCCCACTGGCATCACAACGGCCAGACCTGCTGGTCCTCCAGCTGCTGGCTCCAGGTAGTTACATATGAGTTTAAAAGAAGAGAACCAGGGCTGGGTGCAATGGCTTATGCTTGTAATCCCAACAGTTTAGGAGGCCGAGGTGGGTGATCATTTGAGATTAGGAGTTCAAGACCAGCCTGGCCAACATGGTGAAACTCTGCCTCTACTAAAAATACAAAAAAAAAAAAAAAAAAAAAATTAGCCGGGAGTGGTGGTGGGTGCCTGTAGTCCCAGCTATTTTGAAGGCTGAGGCAGAAGAATTGCTTGAACGTGGGAGGCAGAGGTTACAATGAGCCGATATCAGCCACTGCACTCCAGCCTGGGCAACAGAGCGAGACTCTGTCTTAAAATGAACAAATAAATAAATAAAAATAAGAGAGGCAGGGTGTGGTGGCTCACACCTGTAATCCCAGCACTTTGGGAAGCCAAGTTGGGAGGATTGCTTGAGGCCAGGAGTTTGAGACCAGCCTGCGTAACAAAGCAAGACCCTGTGTCTACCAAAATAGTAATTTTAAAAATTATCCCGGCATGGTGTGATGTGCCTGTGGTCCCAGCTCCTCTGGAGGCTGAGGGGGGAGAATCGCTCATACCTAGGAGGTTGAGGCTGCAGTGAGCCATGATCACACCACTGCACCACCCTAGCCTGGGCGACAGAGCAAGATTTCATCTCTGTAAAAAAAAGACAAAAAAGGAGGCTTGGATGCAGCACTGTTTTGTCACTTATAACTGGAATTTTGTCTATCAAAAGCCTATTGTGCCCAACTGCAGCGGTAGTGGTCTGACGCTGGCTTTGAGGAAGGCCTGACAGCCTAGGGACAGGCTTGGCGTTCCAAGTTGATGAAAGAAAGATGAATAGTGAAAAATAATGGGTTGCAGTGCCTTTTCATACTGGGCCAAGGTATAATTTGGGTCCATTTCAAGGGAAATATACTAGCAGAATTCATCAGAGTAGCCCCTCGAAGACTGGTGCCTAATGCCTAGGGGACAGTTTAATCAGTGGTTCCAGCTGCACATCTAGGGTTGGAAACACTGAACCCAGGCTTTCTCATGCGGATGGGGAATAGATGCTAACGTGGCTGTCTCGCAGCCCTGCAGCGTGAGTGAAACAGACGTCTATTCTACAGAGACACGGCTCTGTGGTGCTGAAACCTCCTTCTAGATAACAGTGGCATTAAGCTGTTTTTTTTCTCCTTTTTCTTTTTTTTTTTTGAGATGGAGTCTTGCACTTTCACCCAGGCTGGAGTGCAGTGGTGTGATCTTTGCTCACTGCAACCTCCACCTCCGAGGTTCAAGTGATTCTCCTGCCTCAGCCTCCTGAGTGGCTGGGATTACAGGCATAAGCCACCACACCTGGCTAATTTTTGTATTGTTAGTAGAGACAGGGTTTCACCATGTTGGCCAGGCTGGTCTTGAACTCCTGACCTCAAGTGTTCTGCCTGCCTTGGCCTCCCAAAGTGCTGAGATTATAGGCGTGAGCCACCCAACCTGGCTTTTTTTTCTTTCTTTCTTTTTTATAAGACAGGGTCTCACTCTGCTGATCACAGACACAGCTCACTGCAGCCTCAACCTCCTGCCTGGGTTCAATCGATCCTCTCACCTTGGCCTCCCAAGTAGCTGAGACCACAGGTACGAGCCACCACATCTGGCCCTACTTAAGCTTTACGTAGGTGCAATAAGAGATCTTCTGAAACCAGCTCTCAGCTCAAGAGAAGGGTAAGCCAGGTGCAATGGCTCACGCCTATAATCCTAGCATTTTGGGAAGCCAAGGCAAGAGGACCACTTGAACCCAGGAATTTGAGACCACCCTGGGCAACATAGGGAGACCGCCGCCCCCCCGTCTCTAAAAAGAAATAAAAAAGAAAAACAGGCCAGGCTTGATGGCTCAAGCCTGTAATTCCAGCACTTTGGGAAGCCAGGGCAGGAGGATCACTTGAACCCTGGAGTTCGAGACCAGCCTGGGCAACAAAAGGAGACTGTGTCTCTAAATAAATAAATAGAGAAGGGAAGTGCAGGTGGGGCACGCAGCCCAAACTGGGCTCCTCTGTTCATCCCGCACAGTCAGTTCGTACCTTGCACATGCACAAAGAAGGTGTCGACCCAACCAAAGCAATACTGATTCTTGTTATATCTTGTTATATCGCTTTATTGTGGGGTCAGTGTTGGAGTACCACGAGTTTTCATTAGCCTCCGTTCTTTCCCCAGCTGTAGTCAGTTTAGGGAGGGAAAGAGGCCCTACCCCCATCCCTATTCCTCCTGCCTTCATATTGGCTGCTACTCTCTGAGTACCTGTTGAGTTCTTTCACCTTCCAGGTCTAACATGCTCTCCCACACCCCTAGAGAGCAGGGCTGCTGGATGCCACACGGCTCCCAGAGAGGGGCTGTGGTCAGGGAAGCCCCAGCTCCAAGGGGGGCCGGAAAACCCCAGAGCCATCCACTGCAGCAGCAGTCTTTGGTGCTGCAGGTGAGGACAGCTACAAAATACCTGAGCCATCATTCTGTCACTCGGTCTGAACTCCGTTTGAAATATTGTTTCCATAACTGTTAGGATGGTTTTTCCTTCCTGACTATAATCCTCAAACCAACAAGAGCCCAGCAGAGGAAAACGTGGCCAAAACACCCCCAGAGGAGAGCCTTGGCTTGACCTCAAAGGGCCACCATTGGGGAGGATGTCCTCAAACCTCTGACCCCCCTCTCTGCAGGCTCTGCCCAGCCCTGTGTGGCGACCCAAAGGAAGCCTCTCCTTCGTTTAAGATTTAGCCCCAGACGTCCCGCGATGGCTGCCGCCTGTCCCTTCCACCTGCATGGCTGCCCACGGGGGGATTGCTCATCTGGCTACTCTGGATGAGAGGCTCCCCGCCAGGTTGGGGGGGTGCCTCTCCGCGGCTCCTCTGCCTCCTACCCCCACTGGCACCCAACGCCTGTCCTAGAAGGTTCTTTCTGCCTGTTTGCTCCGTGAGTGGCTGGAGAGGCAGAGGCCGGCCTTGCTGGAGGGAGCGTTCGTAATTAGGAGCGAATCCAAAGCAGGGTCTTTTCCTTCCGCAGCCCCGGGCCCACCCACTGCCCTTTACCGATGCCTTCTGCTTGGTCCTCAGGACTGATACAGACCAGGACCCAGGGCCAGCCCGGGCCAGGCTCCTATGCTTCCAGCAGCGCGGGGTCCTGCTGCCCCCCGCCGGGGTCGGCCTCTGGCGGACCCTTCCTCCTCCTCCCCAGCCCTGCACAGCAGGGCCAGGCAGGTGCTTCCCGTTTGGCTGCTGAAGAGCCGAGAGTTCACAGAGAGATTGAGGAACGAGCCCAGGGACGGGGCCAGCCCGTGGGGGCGCCCTGGGATTGGAGCCCAGGTCCCGGGTTCGCCGCGCGGCTCCCGACTTCCTCTCCTTTCGCCCAGAGGAGAGTTCGGCCACTGCAGAGACGTGAGATGGATCTTACCTCCCTGGGACCCCAGGGGGCCCGCGAGGCCAGCGCGCGGGCGGGAGCAGGGACGGGCCCAGAAGAGCCTCGGGGGAAACGCCTGCCCCCGCCCCCGGCTCCCGCGCCCCCCCCCCCGCCGGCTCCCGCACCCCCCGCACCCGGCTCCGCGCATCCCCCGCCGACCCCGGCCCCGCTGCCCCCGCCCGGTCCCCACCCGCCGGCCGCCCCCCTTGCCCGGCTGGGGCGCTGCTCAGCTTCGCGCTCCTGGCAGTCGCGGTCACCAGCGACTGCTGGTCCGTTCTGGAGGTGGTGGACGCCGGCAACCACAGCTCTGGGCCGGGGCGCGCAGAGCAGCTCTCCTCGCACTTGGGGCTCTGGCGCATTTGCGAAGGTAACCGGCCGCCCCGCCAGCCCTCCTCCCTCCGCGACCTCTTCCCTCTGACCCCCGCCCTGCCCTGCCCTGCCCGCGTCGCCCCGCCCCGCCAGACCCCCTCCCAGGACCCCTCCCTTGCATCCCACTCTGCCCCAAGGGGTCTCTCAGTTCCCTCCCCATCACCCAGCGTCTCCCCCCATAGCTGCTGCACTGGCAGCCTGGGGGCTGCAGGAGGGAGGGAGCCCTGATCAGGGCGCCTCACAGCCGGAGGAGCGGGCTGTGGGCTGTGGCGGGGTGGGGGGTTGGGGGTGGGGAGGTGGGAAGCCCCATGTTTGTAGCTGGGGGGTGCTCATCCAAGTGGCCACGGGTTGTTTCTGGATCACCTTCCTGGGGGTGTGGGCCTGGCAGCCCCTTGTCCCTCTCCCTGGCAGGCACCGTCAGAGCTGCTCTCCACACATGGGAGGCCGCAGGGCTGGGGACAGGGGTTCCAAATGTGTGCAGAGGCTTCGGGAGTCGGCGAGAGAGGAGGGGATTCCAGCAGGCTGGAGGGTCCACAGGGCCTCCTCCATTCCACCTGGCTCCCTCCTCAGGAGCTGGGGCTAGCCTGGGGATCTTCCCCTGCACAGGGCGAGCGCTGGCACGGCAGGGATGTGTGTGAGTGTGTGTGCGTGTGAGTGTGCCTACATGTGCATATGAATGTGTGCATGTGCTGAACATGAACATGTGTGAGCACCCAGCTGTTTGTAAATATTAATGTGTCTGCGTGAGCGTGTGCAATTGTGTGTGCATGTGAACATGAGTGTGTGAGCATGTCAGTGTGCATGTGAGTGTGAGCTTGTATGTGAGTGCATGCGTGGGTGGCGCACGTGTGCTGTGGCTTCCTAGGTGTAACTAGGGGGGAGTTAGGAGCCTCGTGTTCATCCATCCAACAGACTGCCTAGCTGTTCTCCAAAGACCTCCTCACATGGCCGGGCGCGTGGCTCACGCCTGTAATCCCAGCACTTTGGGAGACCTAGGTGGGTGGATCACTTGAGGCCAAGAGTTGGAGACCAGCCTGGCCAACATGGTGAAACCCCGTCTCTACTAAATATACAAAAATTAGCGGGGCGGCGTGGTGGGGCATGGCTGTAATCCAGCTACTTGAGAGGCTGAGGCTGGAGAATTGCTTGAACCTGAGAGGTGGAGGTTGCAGAGAGCGGAGATTGCGCCACTGCACTCCAGCCTGGGCAACAGAGCCCGACTCTGTCTCAGAAAAAAAAAAAAAAAGACCTCCTGACATGCATGTGTAGGCCAGTGGCTCTGCACATGTGTGAGAATCAGCATGTATGCCCACGTGACAGGAGTCACGATGATTCCGGGGAGGCTGCCCAGTGAGCCCGTTTCACACACACCTTTTTTCTTTCAGGGAAATCCTGACTTCCACACATGCATGCATTACAGGGACCCCTGTCTGAGGGACCCTGAGAGGGCCTCCATGGAGCTTTTGAAATTTTAAACATGCATCTGTGCAGGTGTCACATGCACGTGAAAATACACAAGACGAAAGGTCTCAGGCCTTTCATCCCACTTGGAGTCTCAGCTCCGAGTCTCAGCAGGAGAGAGAATATGGCAGGGCCCTGTGGTGCCGGGGGTTCCCCTGGGCTCGGGTGGGCTGCTGGGTGCCCCTGGCGTCCGGGCCCCAAGCTTTGAGTCTTCTGTTTCCCAGGGCAGAACAGCTGCATACCTTCGCCAGCGAGAGCCTGGATGCCTCCACCTCCACCTCGGTGCAGCACCTCATCTGTGAGTCCTGGGTGGGGCCCCCTTCCCTTCCTTCCCGAATATTCAGGCAAGGCTGGATCCCAGCCATCCCATCCCCACCCCACAGCACTGCTTCCACTGGCCCCTACATTTCCCCCAGGAGGTTTCCACACTCTCTCGGTGCTGTGCTGCTGTCCCTAACCACAGGGGCCCCGCTCCCAGCCTGTCCTGTTCTTCCCCTATCTCAGTTTCCCTCTCGGTGGCGACGCTCACTCCTTTGTTGTTGGGGAAACCAGGCAAGCGTGGCTGGATCCTGTGGGCCCTGCAGACTCCCGGCTCCCCATTTAGGACTCTTGGAGATGGGCTGTTGTCTACCTGGCTGGCATCTCTCACCTGTCGGGTTGGGGGACATGTGAGGCTCCGGGATGGGGGTTGGGAGGGTGCTGGGGACAACTCCCTCTCCTGGCCTCAGGAAGCCCCTGCCAGGGTGAGAGGGGGCCACTGGGAGGGGCCCCTGGTTTTCACAGAGAGGAGTGCCAGCTGCTTTTCCTAGAAGGTGGAACAGCAGGTCACTGTCCTCCGGCACACAGGTGCTGAAGGGCCCACGGGGACCCTCTCACGTGAGCCCCCTCTCCCGCGGCCCTGCACCGCGCAGTCATGGTGGTCCTGCCCCTGAGCTGCTCCTCGCATGCGGCTGGATCTGCGGACTGCTCAGCTCCCTGGCCCAGAGAGCGCCTCTGCCGCTCTTCACCTGCTGCTACTTCCTGTTGGGGAGTGAGTCTGAGGCCCTGGGGGAGTGGCTTCAAAGATGGGAGCTGGGCCACAGGTCCTGGGAGTGGGTGCTGCTTCTTCTGTTGCCCTTGTCCCCTGCTCCCCTCTGGACTGGCGCTGAGCTGGGGATGGAGCCGTGGCAGGCAGCCCCCTGTGTTCCAGAAGTTAGCCATGTGTATTCGTTCTCCCATTGCTATAAAGAAATGCCTGAGACTGAGTAATTTATAAAGAAAAGAGGTGTAGGCCGGACGCAGTGGCTCTCGCCTGTAATCCCAGTGCTTTGGGAGGCTGAGGTGGGTGGATCACCTGAGGTCAGGAGTTCAAGACCAGCCTGACCAACATGGTGAAACCCCATTTTTACTAAAAATACAAAAATTAGCTGGGCTTATAAAGAAAAGAGGTTTAATTGGCTCATGGTTCCGCACCCTGTAGGGGAAGCATGGTGCTGGCATCTGCTCGGCTTCTGGGGAGGCCTCAGGAAAATGACAATCATGGGTGGAAGGCCGAGGTGGGGAGCCAGCGTTTCCCATGGCCGGAACAGGAGGAAGACAGAGTGGGGAGGTGCAGCATACTTTTAAACATGGGATTTGGGCCGGGCACCAAACCATAGCACCATGATAGGAGCAGGGCTTCTGGGTCAGAGCCTGGGGCAGGGAGGAGCACCAGGGTCCAAGGTTCTCGGCATGGGGGGCATGAGGGCCTCCAGGGCAAGCCAGGGTCTGCTCTGCTGCATCAGATCATGCTGGGGGCCTGGGGAAAGCCCCTCATCACTGCCTTCTCCTTCCCAGACTGTCCTGCTGGGAGGAGCAAGGGCACGGGGGTTTGGCACAGACGAGGCAGGGCCAGGAATAAAGGCAAGTGGGACGGGGCACCAGAGGCTTCAGCACTGACCCCAGCATAAGCTGAGACCGTAACCAGTAACCACCCAGCAGCTGACATGGCTCCAGCTCCCGCTGCCTGCCAGGTGCTGGGCCATGTGCTCCTCCGAAGGCCCCCCAGTCCCAGCTACAAGTGAGAGCTGCGAGGCCTGGAGAGGGCCGAGGCCAATGAGGTCCTGGGCTCCCCTCCACCCCCGCCGGTGCCGTCTCCTCAGTTTCCACCAACTGCCCAGCACTGGCTGTGCCTGAAGATGGACTGGGGGCTCCTGACAGCCCGTCCTCAGCCACCTCTGTCATCCAGGGCCAGCCTGAGCCAGGCCTGGTGGCGTCTCAGGCCAGCTCCACCATCAAGGTTGTGGCCACAAGGAGCAGACCGCCCATGGCTGGGGGCGCCCTCCCTGCTTCTCTGGGCTTTAGGGGAGGCCTCTGTCACTGAGGAGGCCCAGTTGGGAGCAGAGATTGAGGAAACCAGCAGCCTTGGTGCTGGTCACAGGCCGCAGGAGGACAACATTGAAGCCAAAGTCTCCTCTAGACAATGAAATCAGGAAGAATCCAAATGACCTGACCCTGGGCCCACCTGTGAGTTTTCAGAATCCAATTAAGAGGACGTTGGAGAGCCGGTGACGGGAGTGATTGGGGTGGAGTTGTAACAGGGAGATGGTGACGGGAGGGATGGGGTTGGGGTTGTAACCAGGAGATGGTGATGGAGAGCGTAGTGTCTGTGTTTTGCGTGGGAGTGAAGGCACCAGCTAGGGGGCAGAGGGTCTGGAGGCAGCTGGTGGGTGGGTGGGGGCTGCACTGGGACTCCAGCCTCCCCAGGCAGAGGGGCCTCCACTCTGAGAATAAGGGTCTGCTGTGGGCCGAAGCAGAGGGCTCTCAGGATGTCGCACCAAGGGCACCTGCCTAGGGTCAGCCCGCCCCTCACCCCTCACTAGCACTGCAAGTATGTGGAGGGAGATGGGGGTTCACAGATGGATTGAGCGCCCTTCCCTGAGATAGGATCATGGGGAGCCTGGGGGACGACAGGGCCTGGGGTGACAGTTCTCTAGAGTTGCCCAGCTTGAGGTTGCAGGCGCCCGCTGGGGAGGCCTCCTTCAGGAGGTGGGAGGCGGGAGGCTGGGAGAGAGGCCCGCCGGGAGCTGAGCCCAGGCCCTTTCACTGGGAGTCGGGAGGTGCTTCAGGTCCCAGCTTACCCTTCACCTTCATTTTGGGAGAAAGGCCATGTCCTCCTCCAGGCTAGAGGAGGCAGCTGGTGTTTGGAGAGGGCTCAGCTGGTGGGCAGCCTGCCAGGAAGTGGGGCCCTGGGCTGCAGCTGAGACCTGTGCAACAGGCAGGGACAGGCACCTCCCACCGCGTGGTCAGCCTCCACTGCTGGGGCTGGGTCACCCCACCCCTGCTGCTCCCGGGGCCCACTTCATTCAATTTGGCTTCACATTCTTCCCCAAATTAAACCTGTCCTTTCTGTTGCTGCACTGCCCGCCGGGCCGGCAGCCGCGTGTCCTCCGTCCCTCGGCCTCCCTCTGTCTTCTCTTCCCACTCTCTCTTCCACTCTTCTTCCCAGGTTTGGTTTCCAGGAGGAATTGCAGAAGAGCAGGCTGGGCTGTGCCCCTTCTCTGGGCATCAGTGAGATCTGGACCTGGCACTGAGCATCAGCTTGGAGCTATTGTCTTCTTTTGGCTGGGTAGTACCCAGAGGGGACCCTGTGCACCCAGGAAGTGCCTGGGGGGAAGTCAGGGCCACCTGCCCACCGGCTAACATTCCCTACAGCTGGCACCAAGGACAGGCTTTCTCGTCAGCCGGAAGCTGTGGGAAGGGGGTGGCAGTTTGGGCCAGTTCCTCCAAGCCCAGTAGACAGGAAAACGCCCTGGAGGCACCGGCCAAGGCCCCTGCCCAGCTCTTTGCTGGACCCTGAACTGCCGGATGAAACCTGGCACCCGCCACCCTGTGTAGAGCTGGCTTCATTCCTTTGACAACAGTTTTGACCTTGTGGAGAGCAGGAGGGAGGAGTGAGGAGGGCCCAGGGCAGGCATCCTCCCCTGAGGAAGGGCCTGAACTCAGAGCTGGGAGGACAGGGGACACTGAAGGAGAGTCAGAGGGAGGGGGACATTAGCCCCAGAGGTAGGGAAGGTGTCAGGAAGAGGAGGCCGGGAGTGCAAGGTAGGGACTCTGGTCAGAGCTCTGGGCAACCCTGCTGCCAGCAGAGGCCATGGCTGTGTGTGTGCATGTGTGTGAATGTGTACAGGTGTGTGCGAATGTGTACAGGTGTGCATGTGTGAATGTGTACGTGTGTGTGCATGTGAGCAAATGTGTACGTGTGTGCATGTGTGTGAATATGTACAGGTGTGTTTGTGTGCATGTGTGCAAATGTGTACGTGTGCATGTGTGAATGTGTACAGATGTGTATGCGTGTTGTAATGTGTACAGGTGTGTACAGGTGTGTGCATGTGTGCGAATGTGTACGCGTGTGCATGTGTGACTGTAGAGGTGTGTGCATGTGTACGTGTGTACCTGTGTTGGAATGTGTACAGGTGTGTGCATGTGTACATGTGTGCGTGTGTTGGAATGTGTACAGATGTGTGCATGTGTACGTGTGTGCATGTGTTGGAATGTGTACAGGTGTGTGCATGTATGTGTCCATGTTTGTGAATGTGTACATGTGTGTGCATGTGTGTGAATGTGTACAGGCGTATGCATGTGTATGTGTGTGCATGTGTGCAAATGCGTACGTGTATGTCTGTGGGTGTGTATGTGTGCTGGGGGCCATGGAGGGTGCAGGGTGTGTGGGGGGCAGTTCTGTGAGCGGGAACCATGTTGAGGGGCAGGTGGTGCTGTTTCAAGGAAGCTTTGCAGGGTGAGGTCTCTGGGGTTTGAGGACTGAATTGGAGCCTCTTAAAGCTCCACTCCCCGACATGCAGCTGAGCAGCTGTAGCCCCGTGCAGACCCAAGCAGGAGGGGTGTCTGGGAGAGTCACCAGCACAGGAAGGGTGGTGGGCGGCCTGCAGCTCTGCCTGAATGCCAGTGGAGTCGGGGCTCGAAGCCATGTCTGCAGGACTGCCTGGGCCCGTCAGAGCAGACACAGAGCAGCCGCCCTCCCATCTTTCCCCCAGGTTCCCCGACCCTGGCAGGGGTCAGCATCTACATCAGGTATGCATACCTGGCCTTCACGGAGACTGCACAGCAGCACGGCCCGAAGCATGTGCAGGGTGTTCACGTCAGCTTCAGCTGGTCCCTGGCCCTGGCCTGGGGCTCCTGTGCCTCGGAGGCCCTCAGCGGAGCCCTCCTGGTCTCAGCCGCTGAGACCCCCACTCTGTGGTCATCTGAGTCCCCAGCAGGTGGGAGAGAGGTGAGAGGTGGCTGAGCTTCCCTTTGTACGTCCTGGGATTGGGCAGTCAGGGCCAGGGCCCCCATGAGAGGCTGGAAATCCCTTCCCTGGGCCTGGCTGGGGTCCTGGCCAGGAAGGAGCCCTGGAGGTAAAAAGGGGTGGGGGCAGAGCCAAGAATCCAGCTCCTTGTGTGTCTCCCTAGATATTTGGGGAGGCTCCCCTGCCCTGGACTAGCTGGTTTAACTGCCCCTTAGTGATGAGAAGAGTTCAGAAAAGAGGAAGTAAGTGGTCCAGGTGAGGCAGAGTTGGATGGGGGTGCCTGTCAAGGGTGTGGCCTGAACTCGCCTCTCCCCCCCGCAAGCACAAGAGCCACTGCTGCCTCCATTCCCGAGATGTCCCTGGGAGAAAAGGAGGTGTCTGTTAAATGCCTCAGCGCTGGGTGCCATGCTACTCTCCAGTCCCGCAGTGGCCCTACTGAATGGATATCCTGTTGTACTGGACCGAGCGTAGAAAGTTAGCACCAAGACAAAAGTATGCCAGGTCGGGCGCGGTGGCTCAAGCCTGTAATCCCAGCACTTTGGGAGGCCGAGGCGGGTGGATCACGAGGTCAAGAGATCGCGACCATCCTGGTCAACATGGTGAAACCCCGTCTCTACTAAAAATACAAAAAATTAGCTGGGCATGGTGGCGCGTGCCTGTAATCCCAGCTACTCAGGAGGCTGAGGCAGGAGAATTGCCTGAACCCAGGAGGCGGAGGTTGCGGTGAGCCGAGGTCGCGCCATTGCACTCCAGCCTGGGTAACAAGAGCGAAACTCCGTCTCAAAAAATAAACAAAACAAAAAAAAGTATGCCAGATTGCAGGGTCATTTATTATGCCGGCGACCACAGAGGACTCACATCTCTCCAACCTGTGGCGTCGAAAGGAGGGTGCCAAGACTTTTTATACCCGAAAAACCATCTTGGGAGTGGGGGTGAGGAGCAGGGATGGGGATGAAAAGGTTTCTGACATTCCAAGGGCCAGGGGATTTTGTAATTCACCTCCTGGGCAGAGACGAGGGTGGGGGTCTCCGGACATTCCAAGGGCCAGGGGACTTTTGTCATTCTGTTTGTTACTTCAGTGGTTTACAGAAGTCAAGACACACATTTGTTTACACATTGTCTGGGTGGTGATAGAAGTCACAGATCTTAGTTACTTGTTACAAGTCACAGGAGCCAGGATGGAATTAAGCTGGGCTGCTTATTTTAGTTATTACCGGTAAGCAAAGGCTAGCAATTCTGGCAGTTACTGATAAGAAAAGGCAAGCAGCTTTACATAGTTTGCAGAACAAACTAGCGGCTCTATTTACAGAAGCCAAGGCCAGCAGTTATTGTGAGGAGAATGGCGCAGGAATGGCGCAGCCGTTGCAACTTATTTAAAACACAGTTTTGCATTTTATAAAAATGGCATTGCTCAGGTTCTGGCTCTTGGCCAGCACAATATCACAATCCTACATCCATTTTACAGAGGGGGAGACGGAGGCCCAGAGCGGCAGAGACACCCACCCAGATCACCTGGAGCCAGAGAGATGCCGTCTCAGGACGTGGCCTCCGAGGCCTCTGTTCTGTCCACTCTCCCAGGAGGGCAGGCTTGGTGGGTAAGAGCTGAGAAGAAGGCATAAGAGGCCCCTGCAATTTGCAGGTGTAGGGGGCGAGGATCGGACCAAGCCAGATGTGTCCCCCGCCCCCTCCCATGTCTTCAAGCCTGCTAGGTACTTTTCACTGAGCGCTTCCGGGCAGAGCAGGCGCACAGACCTCTGTTCTTGTCCTGGGACAGGCCACTGCTGCTTCTGGCCCCAACCCTTCCTCTCTGCAGCAACCTGGGGGAGGTGTGGAGCTGACAGAGGTGGAAGTCCCAGAAGGGTGGGGTGGGTGTGTCACTCCATGGTGAAGGAGTTTGGGACCACTCCTTGCCTGCCTCAAAGTAGACCTGGCTGAGGGGGCTTATTGGCCACAGTGGCCAGGGCTGCCTAGGGTGGTGCAGGGCTGGGCCTGCAGTTTGAGATCCAGGCTTGTTAAATTGAGGGCAGAACCACAGGTGGGAGGGGCTCAGCTTGCAGGCCCAGGCCTGTAGGCCCACTGCTGGTCCCAGGGGGAGACAGTTCTCACACACTTGAGTCACCTGGGGCCACAAAGGCTGGGGCACGCCCACCGTTATGCAGATGGACAGTTGAGGCAGCTGCAGAAGGGTTCCCAGGGCCTGTGTGGCGGTCTGTTTGGGGTTTGTGGGCCCTCCCCAAGTTGAGAGCTGTGCTAGGGAAGGTGGTGGCCTCTCTTGGCTTGGTCTCTCTGCCCCCCCTACCCCGCCCTGCCCCTAGGTCTCTTTATTGATTCAAAGGTTAAGGAAGCTCCTGGGGGCTGAAGGGGGTGACATGGTTTTGGTGGGGCCCAGTGAGGACAAAGCTGGGTGGTGAGTGGGGCCTCCTCTTCCTCCTGGTGTTTGAAAGTTTACCATTCCGGCCGGGCACAGTGGCTCACGCCTGTAATCCCAGCACTTTGGAAGGCCGAGGCAGGTGGATCACGAGGTCAAGAGATCGAGACCATCCTGGTCAACATGGTGAAACCCCGTCTCTACTAAAAATACAAAAAATTAGCTGGGCATGGTGACACGTGCCTGTAATCCCAGCTACTCAAGAGGCTGAGGCAGGGGAATTGCCTGAACCCAGGAGGTGGAGGTTGCAGTGAGCCGAGATCACGCCATTGCACTCCAGCCTGGGTAACAAGAGTGAAACTCCATCTAAAAAAAAAAAAAAAAAAAGAAAGTTTACCATTCCATGTGGGAACATTGTGCCAGTTTGTCCTTACATGAATCACTTGTGCTGTGTGCCATATAAGCCTTTTATTTTTCTTAGAACTTTTAACAATAGGTAACATATGCCCGTCTATCATAAACAGTGCAAAGGCAAGCAAACGCTGTCACCAGCTGTCTGTCCATCCAGAGGTGTTCCGTGAACGAGTGCGTGTGAGTGTCCACGTGCGTGTTTGTGTCCACCGTGAAGTCATCTGCGGACAGAGTAGGACTACTACTTATTCCGAGGTCAGCACAGCAATGGGGGGTCCCTGGGTCTCTGTGTTGGAAACCGGGACTGGCTTCCTGGGCATATCCTCTCAGCTCGGGAGGAAACGTGTGGGGGGGCTCTTCCTCTCCTCCTGGCCCCCAGCCTCTGTTGAGGAGGCTTCTCCTGGGGGTTTCCTGGGAAGCTAGGGGTGACAGCCTAACTTCAGGCCTCTCATGGCAGATGGGCTTGGGCTCTGGGGATATGACACTGGAGAATACACACCAGGGGCTGCTGAGATCACCAGAGTTCCCTGAGAGTGTGTGGGGGGGAAGGATGCGCTGCTTGCCCTTTCCCCTCCAGAATCGACCCTCCCACCTTGCCTACACGTGTTCTGGTGGGTGTGGAACTCAGCCAGGCCACGCGACTCCTTCACTCTCTGATTGGCCAGCCACATCCCTCATCCTCTGATTGGCTGACCCTCACTCTCTGGTTAGTTAGTATACTCCCTCACTTTGATTGGCTAATTGACTCCACTATCTGATTGGCCAGGTGATGCCCCTCATGCTCTGATTGGCCAGTAAGTGTTCCTGACCCTCTGATTGGCCAGTTGACTCCCGCACTCTCTGGCTAGTCTCCACAGTGATTGGCCCAGGGGTTCCGCCTGTTTTCACGGTTCTCTGAGTGTCAGGCTTTGCAGCTGGGATTAACTGGCAGATGAATGCCTCCTCCCTGGGAAGAGACAGTGCATGGTTCAAGGTCACTGGGAATAGACAACATGACATCAGGCTCAAATGGTGCTGCATTATTTACGGTAAGAGGAGAGAGCCTGTGCACCAAATCCTCTTGCAATGGTGGTTCCCCCAGTTGGATTCACTGGCCCAAGTGGCCCTCTTTCTTTGATTTTTCTTAGAACTTTTCAAAATAGGTAACATAGACCGGGCACAGTGGCTCACGCCTGTAATCGTAGCACTTTGGGAGGCCGAGGTGGGGGATCATCTGAGGTCAGGAGTTCAAGACCAGCCTGGCCATCATGGTGAAATCCCATCTTTAAAAAAACAAACAAACAAAAAAATAGGTAACACATGCCCATGTGTCACAAACAGTGCAAAGGAGAGTAAACACTGTCACCAGCTATGTGCATGTCTGTCCATCCAGAGGTGTTCTGGGCGCGTGTGTATAAATGACTGCATGGGCCAGAGACAGAGACGAGACAAGCCAGAGACAAGCCCTGACTCAGAGGCCCCTGCCCCCGGCACTGAAGGCTCTTCCTCCTCTCACCACAGCAAAGCCCTTTCTCCAGGGACGGCCCAGCTCCACCCGGTCCTGGGCCCACTTGCAGCCCACTCTGGCATGTTTATCTGCATCACCTGGTGGGTGCCCCCATCAGGGGCCTGACCTCTGTGAGGACAGGGACCTCTCATGAGCTCAGGCCCTAGGCCCAACCAGCATTTATTAATGTAGTAGGCAACTCCCAGGAGAGCCCCCATCTGTCCTCATCTCCTGGTGCTCAGCCCTCTGTAGGCCTTGCCACACTGAGTCAGAGCTGATTGGGTGTCAAGTAGGAAGTGGCAGCAGGTGAGGAGGTCATAAAAAGGTAGCTCCTGCCTTGGTCTCTGAGACTGCCCATGCTAGGGGAAGCCAGCCATCGGACTGTGGAGACAGGAAGCCCCGAGGGGATGCTCACATGGACAGGACTGAGGCCTCCGCCAACAGGAGCAGCCGTGTTATAGCTGTGTGAGCGCACCACCTGCAAGAGAGAATTCAGATAATGCTGTTCTCGCTGAGGTCTTGACTGCAACCTCATGAGAAACTCCAAGCCAGAACTTTCCGGCTGTAAGCCACTCCCAAATTCTGCCTCTCCCCACCCATTTTTTTTTTTTTTTTTTTTTTTGAGACAGGGTCTCATTCTGTCATCTAGGTTGGAGAGCAGTGGCTCTATCTCAGCTCACTGAGGCTCCGCCCTCCAGGGCTCAAGCGATCCTCCCACCTC